ACAACAAAACCCCAACAACTATATTCATAGATCCATTATGCCTCTTCATTAGGTGATAGCAGAAAATCATCAAACACAGCAGCTGCAGGCAACAGCTAGAATTCAGGAACTAATATAATTATATTGCCATCATTAAATATTTTGCTGCGGTCTACACCATGTAGCTAATACAACATTACAGCTGGCTTCATGCTGCCATGACACTTCAACTAAACTAATACCCTCTAATCTTTGACAACTTCCTAATCTACCATCTTACTTATCTGTATAATTTGGAAAGCTGTCTGTCCACCCATCTGCTCTCTCTGTGTTTGGATGCCACTTTAAATATTGTTGCCCCATTTGGCATGAAGGTTCCTGAGATTGAGGAACAAGTGTTTTTATCTATGTTTGAATGCTGGACATTTTTTTTAGAACACAGATGGCAAACCAAACCACACCAAACTGTGCCGATTTGGATGCCTCTGAAGATCTTATCACCCAGTCTGGTACGACGGTTCCAGACTGATTTGGATAAATATCCTCATTCCAGTTTGGTGTGATGGTTCTTGAGATTGAGGAATAGGTTTTGGTCTTTATTTGGATCCTATCAGATGCCATTTTTAATCAAGATGGTGGGCTTGAACTTTCAAAACTATACTTGGAAGGAAATTAATAAGTCTGTGCAGTGCTTTTTTCAGGGAGTACTCAAGGGTACACAGTACCAGTACCTCATTATTTTTTGTTTAAAAGTGTGGCACTTACTGTAACAACTTCATAGTGAGTACTGGCACCTATTTTTCCAGGAGAAAAAGCACTGGGTCTGTACAACATATTGGGCCAAAGCTGAAACTGCAGAAGTCCCATTGTGAGAAGAGTAAAGTGAACTCTAGGACCAGCAGAGAGAAGAGAGAAGAACCAGCTTCTGCACCTGTGTCAGGCCAGCACTGATCTATCACTCCTGCTTATTGTGTCCATGGTTATAGCATCTTTTGATGCTGGAGTTTGTTCATTAATAACTGGGGGTTGGGGGGTCACAGTCCCACATGTGGTGTTGATGGTGCATCTGGAGATTAGCTGAGGAGGTAGGTAAAACTCCACTCCCAGGTCCTCAACCTAGGGCAAAGCTGCTACAGTCCCATTCACTTATACCCATGAATGGCAGCTTATGTCAATGGAAACTTATTGTCTGTACTAAGTGCATTGTTTACATTTGTGGAAATCCTTAAGTTGGCTCTGGGAAGTCCCAATGTTATTAGTATATCCCATATTTGTATTTCCCACCACCATCTATTACAGCTCTTTTGTGCCTGCTTCTTCATATCTATCACTTCTAAGAATAGCTGTAAACTTATAGGGATACATTGCCCTGGTGGTGCATCACATAAAATGCTACAGTTTAGATTCTAGGGTAATGACAAGACACAGCTCTACAACACCATAGGACATTCAATGAAATGATTCAGTACAAATGCACTCAAGTTCTTCCAGCTAAATTGGAATTTACACACACACACACACACACACACAAACAAACAAACAAACATACATACATACATGATTGCTCACCAAGTCAACATAAAACCCTTCTCAGGATCTAGAGATAATGTTTCCCTTCCACATATATCTCTTTTCTTATGTATAATTATTTGTCACTCTTTTTTAACATCTGGGGAAAACCTGCAACTCAGAAAAACAACAATCAAGAATTGGTATGTCTTTCAAGGCCTTTGGTATATTTCAGCACACACAAACACACAAATTATTCTGACAGCGCTGCAAGCCATTTCTTTGAAATGAAATGTAGAAGCATTTTATTTGAGAGGAACCTTTAAATTAAGGTGACCTTCAAAACAGAAACAAAAAGACATGGGGGATGCCTAGTGAATGAACTATTGAGAAGACTCTTTAGTATCCCTCAAGACTGTGACCTCCCATCCTTATGGGTAGAACTTTTTACTTGTGTCACTCTTGTTTAGTGCATACTTCAAATGCTACATCACTTATGCCCATGAAAGAACTGCAAATGCACCATGAAAACACCACCACCAAATGATTCTAATAACTAAAGTCTCTTTGCCAGCCCAGGGAAATCCAAGGAGGATGCCTCCTGGGTGTCTGCATGACTAACTGTTCTGGCACTGCTGTACCCATTCAGTCTCAGCTGTGGCTGAAATATTCATTTGATCACTCTCAAATGGAGGGACAAGAAAATGACCCACCTTCCAATAAGGCCACCTGTTGCTGGGTCCATGTGCAGTTACACAGCATGGTCAACCACTACATTTCAAGCAGCAGCTTCTCAGTGAAGTACCATCAGGCCATGGACTGACTCCACCCATTCAGTGGGATTTTCCTGGACAGGAAGGAGCATAAAGGGCTTCCTTGCTAAGCCTTGCATGAGCTCCACACGTGTTAATGTGATCTTGTATCATTTATTATTGTTTGGTTCTCATTTCTGGCTTGTGCCTCAACCCTGTCTCCTCTACTTTGATCCTGACTACCAGCTAGTCCCATGACTCCTGGCTCCCGGCTCCCACTAGACTGATGCCTATGGCTCAGCCCTGACAATGAGTCAAGGCTATAAGAGGTAGGAGGCTTGCTCAGATCAAGTGAATCATGAACATGACTTGGATCCTCCAAGAGTGTCATGGACTGATTGGACGCAAAGGAATGGTGCGAGGAACCAGCTGGGGAACCCCCAAGAGGAGAAGGCTCAGAGCACAGGGATTGGTGGTGGGACAATGATGAGTGAGAAGGAGGGAGAAGATTGGGAAGATGTGTTGGAAGCTGAGGAAGCAGCAGAGCTTAGTGAGCTGGAGGGGGGGTCTGTTGCAGAGAGAAGCCCAGAGGCAAAGGCTGAAGAAGGAGAGTGGGAGGCCAAGAGGCAGAAATGAGTCAGGCTGGTGCAGAGTCATGGGTGCCTCCACCTCCTGTTGTGACAAACTTCCCCTCCCCACTTGTCTCCCAGATCCAGAAGAGGCATAAAAAGGGTGTAGGAGAGGTTGGCTTCATGCAGGCACCGTCTCTGATTGCTTGTAAGAAGCCCTGGAGAGGAGGGAACTTAGATAGCTGTGGGGAGGCAGGAACTTTGAGTCTCAGCAAATGATCCATGGGGGCCAGACCTACCGAGGATGAGCTGCTGTGCTCATTAGGCCTGGCACTCCACCAAGTCTGTGCAGATTATGTTCTTGCTAATAAGAGTTAACAGTGCTGGCTCACTCCTGTCAAAGAGTTACTTTTGCAATGCAAACATTGGGCTGGATTGGAAGTTGCACTGCCTTGGACCACTTTCCTGTGTATGGTGAGGAGAGCCCTCTCTTCCCACCTTCTGCTCTATCAGAACATGTGGGCTTAATGGTATGTGCCTTTAAAGTCCATCCCAGAACTTAGAAGCCTGGCTAGGATGAACAGAGGTGCCCTGGGCCTTAAAGTAGTCTTTGGACATCACAAGATAAACATAAACCAATCTGGCACTGAGAAACATGCAACGACACTTGTGGGTAACACTTACAAAGTGTTAGACCTTGCCAGTAAACACAACATAAGTTTGATCGAGGTGCTTTACTCCCACGGAATATTTAAAAACACTCAGAAGGGGACAGAAAACTCCCAGATGTATTAGTTGGTCAAGAGAAAACACATCACGCAACCGCTATAGGCTAAGAGATGGTTTATCTGCATTATCACATACAAAACTCATTTGCAGAGCTACTCTTGCCTCCATTCAAATTAGTCTGATAGATGATTTTGAGCCCTTTCAGCAGCGATGCAGACAAGCAATTATTCTAGAGGCACCCTCTCTTCTCAGTTTGCACAAAGTGTAATTAACTAGCCTACAGAAGAAAGCAACAGGTCATAAAGATCAATATCCCTAGGTAGATGCCAGTGGAGGAAAAGGCACACCTAGCTGAGAATTAGAAACTAGCAGGAGCAATAAATGGGAACAGGATTCTCATTCTAAAGAGCAGCTCTAAAAATAATTAGAATAAATACTACTGTCTAGACATGCAAGGAGCACACAGAAAAGACTAAAGTGAAAAATATGCACATATTCTGAAGCATGCTAAGTACACTTTTTTTACCCAAGTTTTGGGAATTCTGATTGACCGATTGTTTTGATGCTGTCTTTTACTTATAAATTATGACATTCTTCTTAAATGACCAGTGGAGTCCATTTCAGCAATGGGTCGACTTAGTGTGGGATAACTAGCCTCAAATAACCAACACGCTTAAGTCTAATTAATGCATGAAGGGGTTAAGACCACAGAATAAGCTGTTCTGCCAGCCTTAGCCTTTGTTCCCCTTCAGCCTACCTGATGAACTCAGTGTGTGAGGAGGCTAAGCTGGTTGCTCCAGCTTAGCAGCATGGCTCTAACAAGCCTCTCTTTGAGTTTCTATAACAATAATTTAGGAACTTTCACCACCAAAACCAAGCCAATTTTTACTGCCTAAATGCTGTACAGAAAATCATATGAATCTGACCTTTGGAGAGTTTGTAAGTAAACCATTTTTAACTTAACAAATATGTGTTCTTTTTCCATGTTAGGGTAAGAGGGGAGTACTCCACTTTTTACTTTGCTACGTATTTTGTGGCTTTAAATCTCTGCTGGGGTTCTCTCACCAAAGAGTACTTGCCCCAAGCATGGATCTTGGAATCCAGAGAATTCTAATTTTTATACCTATATTTTTCCTTACCAACAACACATAGAAGGTTTTGTAACCCTTAAAAAATATTCTTTTAAATTGTCTGGAGTGCAATGGAATGCAATGGACCATTGTGGTGATCTCTGGGATGGGTAGAGAATAGAACTAGCACAACTGCCCAGGTTTACATAGGAAGGCATTATCAGAGTTTGGATTTTAACACTGCATCCCCCTGGATAGTCAACGTGGTGCTCTCCATATGCTGTTGGACAGCAGCTTCCATCAGCACAAGCAAAGCATAGCCAATGATCAGGGATGAAGGGAGTTTTTGTGCAACAACTTTTAGTAAGCACCATACTGACTACAGGGGAAAGGGGGCCATGGCTCAATGGCAAAGCATCTGCTTGGCATGCAGAACGCACCAGGATCAATCCCCAGCAGCTCCAGGTAAGACTGGGAGAGACCCCTGTCTGAAACCCTTATGAGGAGAAGCACACATTTGTTGGGCTGGTTTGAGTGTCATGATAAACCATGGTTTATAGTGATGGGTATGAGCCACAAAAGCATCATTGCCACATACCTCCTTCCCTCTCCTCTCCTCTTCTGATGCTGGAAAAAGAGGAGCATGGATGCTTTCACTTTAAGTTTTTTTAAAATTAACTGCAGTTTGCCATTTCTTCCAAACCCAACTACGGTGAAGCTTAGCTATGGTTTGTTTGAAATGGGCCAAGTGCAAATCATGGTTTGCATCACTTCTTCAGCAGAGGCCACTCTGATCAGCTGGTACTTGGATGTTTTATCTGGAAATTCTGATGACTAGACCTGGCAACAGCTATGTGAAAAGTACGTGCTCTACCTCCCTGTATGTTCAAGGCCTCTGCTCTTTCCAGCAGCGCAATCAACCATCGCAGGTTAATTGTTGTAATGCATGCGAGGCTAAAGAACCAAAGTCTCTGAATCAATGTCACTTGAAAATGTTGACTATTCAGAGGTATGGCAACCCTGGAATCCTGAGCCTGTTTGTTTCCATGGTGACACACTTATATTCCAGTGAAACGGCACAATGGTGCTTGGCAATTAAAAGGGCATCTGTAAATAGGATGTTTTCTGATCTGGCACTTAAAACATTTCATAATGGGTGGGGACAAAGCAAGGTTACCTATGAAAAAAGATTGCAGATTAAACAACTCTGATACACGTTAATTTTGGAAGAGGAAGTAAGCAATCAAAGAGAAAGAATTACTTTTCTTCCCCACCGATGGTTCACCTTCAAAATGTTAATGGGAGCTGGGGAGGGGAAAATGTGTGACTGACTCATATCTCCCTGGAAGCATGAAAGACTCTTCAGTCTGTTATTAGTGATGCGCAATCTGTAACATTCTGAAAACACCCTTGCATGGCGCATGGGGGGGGCGGACGGTTTTTCCTTATCAAAAAGGATATATGCTGCAGCAGATTCAGAAGAAAAGAATGATTGCGACTGGTGAACAGACAGAGATTGCATCAGTAACTCATCCAATATGGATTTTATGAACTCTTCTCACTTTCATTACATACTGATAAAACCATGAGGCAGCTATTCCATTCACGGATTCTGTATTAAATCAGCTACTATTCCAATGGAAAGAGCCTTCCTTCCCATTTTTTTTGGCTTTCCTTCCCATTTTGAAATCAAATTTAAAAACAGTTCTCAAGGTCTGCAGAGTTCTTTAGGATACTGTTTTGGTCCTATTAAACTAGTCCCCCAGTTTCTGAAGAACACTTCAGGCAGTGCCTCTCACGCCATTATGATTATGCCTCATCACGGAATGTGGGTAGAATATTATTTTGCACCCCCTTACCATCTAATCCAGACATTTTCCACTCTACAGCTGGCTGGGGGAAAGCTACTCTTTATTGCGTTGGTTAGAGTAGAGTTTCTCAAAACTCTAAATTCTAACAAAACTAGCATAGTTTGTTCAGTATTACAGTGGGCCACAGGTGATGCTGTGGTCTAAACCACCGAGCGTCTTGAGTTTGCTAATTGTAAGGTCAGCAGTTCGGATCCGTGTGACAGAGTGAGCTTCTGTCGCTTTGTCCTGCCAACCTACCAGTTTGAAAGCATGCCAGCGCAAGTAGATAAATAGGTACTGCTGCAGCAGGAAGGTAAATGGCGTTTATGTGCACTGTTCTGTCTGTCACGGTGTCTGTTGCACCAGAAGCAGTTAAATCATGCTGGCCACACGACCTGGAAAACTGTCTGCGGACAAATACTGGCTCCCTCGGCCTGAAAGCAGAGATGAGCGCCATACCCCATAGTCGAATTCAACTGGACTCAACCATCCGGGGTCCTTTACCTTTACCTTTTACAGTATGACTAGTACAGTTCCCTTGAACACACTAATACCTCAAGAAGTTCAAGACTGGAAGACTATGGAAAAGATCACCAGCTTTGATCCTAATCATCGGGTTATTCTTATAACACTTGGATATAACACTTCAGAGTTTCCAAACTTTACTATCCCAGCCTAGATACTCTCCCATGGATTAAAAACTCCCTTCACACACTGAAAGTTAATACAAGAGAAGTTTAAGCTGAACCCTTCTCCCTGCCAAACTAGCTTTCTATGGTATAAGGAAACCTTCCCCACTCCCCACTCCGATATGAAAGGCAGCACTCAGTCATGCATCCACAATCTGAAACTGTAACATCAAGGTCAATACTAGGAGGCACCTTAATACTTAATTCTGCTGAATGTATAAAATGGTACTTAGAATGCAGAAAAATGGGGAGTGGGAAGATTACAAATCAATGGCCACAATTCAACACAGAATTTTGGTGCACTGAGACAAACAGATGTAAAGAACACTCAGCTCTGTTTTGGATTGTGGCCCTGAATGTTTTACAGAAAAGAAAAATCACACTAACTCAGTCTTGATGCTCATAGGAAGCAAGTGGTAGCAGATTATTCATATAAATCACAGTGGGGAACCACTGAATTTTTTATCCCTGAATGTTACTTTCTCAAATTGTGTAAATATGGAAAACTATACAGTAAAATCTGCTTGTCGCTCAAATACATCTCCCTCTACAATAAGGATCAAAAAGAATATTATTTATTGTTCCTTACTTCACTAGCTTGAATACTGAGGCCGACGCTGCCTAAAGAAGAATTCATCTGCAGAGACAGCAAGAGTAGCTGAAAGGAATATTAAACACCAGATATTATCCAAAGACCTTCAATACTGCTAGCTCTCAGCATATTCCACATGCTTCTTATTTTATCTGAAATGCAGGGCTGTGTTATGAAACAACTGCTCATTCTAGTTTATATTTCTCCTGTTCATTATCCACATAGCATTATAATTTTCACACTGGGAAATAATCTGAGAAGACTCTTTGCTCTGATAATGTTACCTTGGTGTTGCTTCCCTTGACCTATTTTTTGAGCATTCATCCTGATTCATCCTGTTTTGTTTTCTGGGGGTTAATACATCTTTCCCATAATCATCTGTTCATCCCACACTTACTTTCCGATCTACAAAATGTTAGTTTCTTTTTTTCTTTTTCAATTTTTTTTTGTTGCACTGGGGCAAAAGAGTGCTCTAATCATTTTAACTGCACAGACCTAAATTTCTTCCTTTAAAATACGGACAGTCAGAAGTTCCCCTGAGTAAAAACTTCCACCCTAAGCCAAGTGATAAGGGCCAAAGCACATAATAAGCCTTTTCTAATCCTTACAGATGGGCAATATCATATTATCTGTTTGTTAAACTTGCATCCTGCAATTTCACCAAATGGCTCCCAGCAAAGCTAACTTCAGTAATAGTACAAAATCTAAATGTTGCCAGGTACACATCTAACCCATGCAGAAAAAGTTATGCATAGATTGGAACACAGAGTAGAAAACTGTGTGTGTTTGTGAGAGGGAAGAGAGCTGAAATCACATCTAGTTGTCCATCTGGCCAAGGAACTTATGTACTGCCATGGTTCAATTCCATGGTGACAAAGTGACTTTTGGCAGAAAGAGCCACTGTTCTGCAATAGACCATCTAGTCTACATGCAGAACGTCACAAGCTCAATCCTCAGCATCTCTAGGTACGACTGGGAGAGGGACTCTTGTCTAAAACCCTGGAGAGCTACTGCCAGTCAGTATAGACAATATTGGACCAGTAGTCTGACTTACTATAAAGGCATCGTTCTTTGTTCCTAAATATTTCTAGCAGCGGTATTTCTAGGAAAAGGCTAAAGCGAAACTAGGTTTTTTTAAAAAAGGAGCAAGCTGGTAACATGATGTGCAAGACCTCTCTCTCTCTTAGTATAAAGAACAAAACCTCTGTGGGTGAATTCAAAAGTTAGTCTGAAATGGAGACTGACATGATGAAGTGTACCTCAGGGGGGATTTCTTTTTTGGGTGCAGTCTAAAACTTCAACAGTCACGTGGCAAGATAAGAAGTCTGCCAGGTACTGGTGCAGCCTGCTTTTAGAAGGTAAGGTGATGCACCTATTGGCATGCCAGAACATACAAAGTAATGGTCATCCTGCCAGCTGGACCCAAAGAGCCTCAGGCTTCTTCACATCAATCACTACCACAGCAGCTGGGCTGCTGTTGGTAGATAGTAGCATCAGTAGCATCACCATTTGTTCTTCCCCCTCCATCTTCCACTACAATCCCTGCCTTCTCTGCTGTCGTCCTCCTCCCACAACTGCCTCTCAGGAGGCTATTCATTGGGAGGTGGCTTCAGAGACCACCTCACCACCACCACCACCACTTTGCCACAACAATGGCAAATGCCATCTAATGTTTAACAGTCTCTGTTAAAAGCACTGCAGGAAAGCATCAGCAGCTCAGGTGCTCTTTCAAGGTCATCTCAAACACACTGCCTTACTGTGAGGAAGGGTCCCATCTCCAGAGGGAGGAGTGGGGAGCCCCTAGATCTCTGGCAGTGGCCCAACAGAACCCTTAATTGCTTCTCTGAAGCATTAACAGCACTCCATAGTGGGCATGCAGGCTAGCAACAACAGCCACAACCACAGCAGCAGCGGGTCACTAGCAGACGATAGCTGTGGCAGGCACTCTTCTGCCTCTCTTGATTCCCTGCCAGAGTAATGCAGCTCACCATAGCTCATTGCAAAGCTCATTACCGTATTTTTCGCTCTATAAGATGTACCAGACCACAAGACGCACCTAGTTTTTGGAGGAGGAAAACAAGAAAAAAAATATTCTGAATCCCAGAAGCCAGAACAGCAAGAGGGATCACTGCGCAGCGAAAGCAGCGATTCCTCTTGCCGTTCTGGCTTCTGGGATAGCTGCGCAGCCTGCATTCGCTCCATAAGACGCACACACATTTCCCCTTACTTTTTAGGAGGGAAAAAGTGAGTCTTATGAAACAAAAAATATGGTACTTGGCCAACCCTGACAAACAGAAATGGGAACCTACTCTGCTTCCCAGCTATACACCATT